TATTATCTCGCCTCTACTGGCGCATTTTTTCGTACATCACAAAATCACCAGAACCGCTCAGACATCCGTATTAGCATTCGATCTCGGCGCTGTCACTTTAATACATCTCAAGCGAAGACACGCTAGGCCTTTGTTTCATAGCTACAAAATTCCAATACTCATCGTTTACCCAACGTATCTGCTATATCTCTTCAAGATGCCTGAAGAGTCGTTTACTTTCCTGCGCTGGCACAGCACGTCCATCAGTTTTCAAAAAAAACGAGAAATTTTTTGCTCATCGAATGTTAGTTTCACAAATAATAACCTAGATGCGATTCGTCTGACACAAAGTCTGAATAGCCAAGAATACTCATACTATTGTACACCAGTGCTCTGTAGAGCAAAGGAATACTCAAAGCTTTTGTGTTCACTTTCATGAATCACCAAGCCCAGCAGACACACGTCAATGTCTTCAACATCATAGTGTTATTTGAAAAGGAACACCGCTTTAAATATACAGAAGAAAATGTCAAAACTGCGCCTGCCGGGAGTCCCTATGGGTGGTCTCAACCTCTATGCAGCACATATTTTCTTACTGACCAAAGCAAACACAGCTTCCAATTTCTTTCAAATCAACACCACCTATCTGAAATCTAGCCACACAGCGTCTGGTTATTTCCTGGAGTACTACTGCATGTGGTGGAAAGCTTTGGTATGATTCAATAATTACCGAGCAGGCTCCCGAAAACAAAGATCAAAACTAATTGTAAGTATGCAGCATTGCCAGTAGGCTTGCTTTCGAGCGCTCTTAAGTAGCATTTCAAATAACTGCACAAGCTGCGTATTTGCATAGAGGTCTTGTTTTCTGTGAAGCGCTTCTCTCCTCTATGAACAAAGTAATGGGTGCGATTATGTAATGATTTCCCACTGCTCTTTGAATTCCCCTGTTCCTGCACTGGAATTTGGAATGGGCATATAACAGTTACCATAAAAAAAAAAACACTGCCACAGACAGACCCAAATAACTGCATTGTACTGATTTTACAAAAAATTCCCATACTGACTTGTGCGCTATTGCAAAAGGAACAAAAAACTGACCAGCATGGTGGTTGGCGAGAGACCGGCGAGTTGTAATGGTGTTGTCAAGCGTTCCCTCAGTGAGACGTCCGCACCATACCATAGAAGCAGTTTCACCTGGAACAATTGTACCTCTGTTCAAAATACGGAAGCACGCACATTGGAAAATGTGCAGTAAAAATTTATAAGCTAAGCAAAACATACCAAATGCAGGTCATTCCTCATAACAACATAATGAATAGGAGCGCGTCCTGAGTGGTCGAAGCATTCACTAGAGGCC